CACTAACACTAGCTTTTAAAAATGTTTGAAGCAATAACTGAATTTATTAAAAAAACACATTTTATTGATATATAACAAATATATTAAACAATGAAAGAAAAAAAAATACATCGCAAGAAAAAAAATATGCAAGAAATAAAATACAATATTATGCAAGAAATAAAATACAAAGAAAAAAAAACAATAAAAAAAGAAAAAAAAAACAATACACGAAAAATATACATTATATGAAAATAACACTATTGATCGAGTCCAAACAATTCATCCATCTCTTCTTAAGACATAAACGGGCTTTTTGAGGCAGGAGATTCGCTTTCAGCTTCAGTATACTGAGGAGAGGCCTCTTTTGATGGTTTGTTACGCCTATTTTCGTCATTTAATATGTTATTAGCCGATTCATAGGAGGGACCACCGCCACTTTCAAAATCGCTCTAATCAAATATATTAAACGTTAATATTGTTACCTATAAAAACAAAATATACAATTAATTACCAAATATTGGTCAATCCTACGTCTCATTCGTGATTCCTTGCACAATATGTTTCGTGAGCGAGGTTTAAGCAGAATGTCACAAACTGCAAGGGTAAATGCACAGTGCTCACTCATCATAATGGGGACAGCAGTCGTACTAAATGCTGTTCTTGCTATAACAGAAACCCAGAAGACACCATCTTCATTTTGCTCAAAAAGAGCATAATAACAAGCATTTACTTCCCGGCTTTCCTTCCATCTAACGATGTCGGCCGCAGCTGCATTGCTTCGTAACCGGGCAACCTCTCAACCCCAAACACACTCCAAATTGCAGCCCTAACATTTTGGAGGCAGCGCCACGATTATTCTTGATTTTTTTCAGGAGCTACATAATAGTAAATTGCAAGTATTTGGAAAATTAAAACTAAAACAAATCATAAGCAATATATTGATACAATAAAAAAAAAGATATTACCTAACAAAATAATATAAGTTGTAATAAATTAAGAAAGTTAGAAAATGATTATTAGCGATTATAAGCTATGGATATAAAAATATATATATATATATATTACCGGACTCAATCATTAACCGTGAAAACGGTTAGCAAACTCGTTGGCACTTAAATTACGCATAAAGTCTGGGAATTTTTCTTCAAGGTAACCTTTAAACATTTCCTTAATTACAGCTTGGGTGGGGTACACATGGTATGGGAAGAGACATTTAGTGACGCACGTAAAAATTTCTTACAAAAAAAAACTTTAATATATGTTTCATGATAAAATACAAGAAATACATCCAAACAAGTTTTTTAATTGTAAATACTAACCTCAAGAACCTTCGGGGAAAGGTCATTCTCCACATCACTTTGTTGGCGTCTTAGTTCAGTTCTAATTTCTTTTACATCTTCGCTCAGCCTCTTTAACATAATATAGAGCTGCTGGTTATGAGCGAAAAGTCGTTCATCTACTTTCTAGCGGTGGGTGTGGGCATGATCTTTAAAGACAAGATATACAAAAAAAAAAAAAAATAAATAAAAAAAATAAAAAAAATAAAAAAAGTAAAAGGGAAAATCTCAATTTTTAGTTACACGAAAAAAAGACTTATTGTTATATATCATTTTGATCACTAATTATATAACTTGATTATTGGATGATTGTTGTTCATGTAATCTTCCTCGTGTTTCTGGGCTAGAATATCGTGGAGATTGTGAGCGATCTCTATTGTTATTATCATTACGTCGTGATTGTCATGATGGTAGATGTGAGCGCTGTTGAGATACTGAATGATCTCTATCATTATATGGAGGTGAATGTGAATCATAGCGAGAGTAAGATGATTGTTGAAATTAGATGGTTGGCTTGATTATTGGCGAGATTGATGGCGAGATTGATGGCGAGATCGTGTTAATTGGGATATATCACTCATAGCTGAAAAGGCTCGTTGAATACTTCTAATACTTGAGGCAGCTGAGTCAGATAAATCGTAATCAGTATGGAGAATTAGATTGGGAGGTTGATGAGGAGAAGCGATATTAGTTGGATTGGGAGGTTGATGAGGAAAAGCATTATAAGTTGAAGATGGTTGTTGATGAGAAGAAGCGTTATAAGTTGGAGACGGTTGTTGATGGAAAGAAGCATTATAAGTTGGAGACAGTTGTTGGTAGGAAGAAGCATTATAAGTTGGAGACGGTTGTTGATGGGAAGAAGTGATATTAGTTAGAGACGATTGATGATGGAAAGAAGCGATATTAGTTGAAGATGTAGGGATAGCAGAAGGAACAGGTGAATTGTCTCTTGGTTTAAAATTCATTTCAAATTTTCCAAAACTAAAGAAGTCAAAAATGTTTTAACTTTCAAACAATTAAAATCTGTTGTATTTATATTTGGTAAAACTTTCGCAAACAAAAAAATAAAAGTTAAAATCTAA